CCAAGACGTCGGCCCAGCAGTCGCATACGCTACCACTGATGCAGTAAAAGATAAAATTAATATGGTAAAAGTGTGTAAAAAACATTTATACATTTTTTTAAACGTTCATGGGCGGCGATGGTCACTTTCCATCAGCTGACCCGTCTGATCATCTGCCCCCTCTAACAAAAAAAAAACTTAGGGTTATACAACCTTTCGTACGGTATATGGGGCAATCTAACAGTCGGGTCACGTGATTTTATATTACTACACCCATGGACTTTAGGGACATAATTGTGCATTGGTTCCTCCTCTCCCTCTAATTATGGAAGCATGAGTTTGGTCCTCTGATAAACTCACTCACTCAATGAAAAGGAAAAAAATTAATTGCTTAACAGTATTTTGTGAGGCCGTGGTAACACTCGGGTTGAGCCAGGCCATTTGTGGCGAAGACCTTAACCTACTATAAACTTTCAGTAAATATCGAAATCGCAAACACCTTAGTTCTATAGGTAGACTATTTACATAAAAACTCGGTATTTAACTCAATCACTTTTAACCAAAATGTACTCAGTTCAAAAATATTTAATTTCATCCACAATTGAAAAACAAAAATAAGTTGACGCTCCCCGAGAGCCGTTTTAAATCCCAATCCTTAAACCTCCTCATTCCCGTATTCAGATCCAATTACGCGAAATGCCCCAACGATTAATTTTTAATCTGTGGCTCCAATATGGCGCCCAGGGTTAATATTAAATTTATTTCAGTTGCCGACACTTGCTAATTATCTTTGTTTTTTAAGATTGTTTTTTTTAAGTCAGTGTGGACGTTCTGAGCTTCTTGGATAATTAATTTCGTATAGTTATCAACTGATACAATGTATATGTGAGTATGTATGTGTATGTGTAGGAAAATAATTACTACACCGCTTTAAACCTGAACCATTTATTTTTTGTAAAAAAAATACACAGTAGCTATTATCCATAAAATAAATTGATAAAAGAAACAAAATCGATTTTTGAGGCATATTTTAAATTTTTATTAGTCATTAAACCCATTATTTAAAATATTTATTTCAAAACTCAAAGTGCTCGATATCGACCCCTAGGGGCCGATATTGACCCCTTTGGGAATCCCTGCCCTCGAGACTGAGAGGAAGTTTGGGCGCCGGTAACCACACTCACTCGGTGAAAAGCAAAGAAAGAATTGTTTAATACCGGTTTTCTGTGAGACCATGGTATGACTCCGGTCGAGCCCCTTTTTGTGGAAGCGTGACTCTCCTACGGTTATGTGTATATTAGAAGGCTGACTTTCTGGCAACTGTCAAGTCAAGTTACAAGTGCATGGTTTTGACCAGCTCGAGATATTGCCTATAGCCCAATTCATCCTTATAAGCAATATCCCATTTCCACCATTGTTTCCCCTGCCGACCTACGGTTTCTTTCAATATATTTCAGACTGGCTTTTGCCCGTGACTCTGCCCGCGTGATGACTGTTATTGCGGTTAAAAGTAGCATATGTTACTTGCTGAAATACATTAGCTTTCCATTGGTGAAAGAATTTTTGAAGTCAGTTTAGTGATTTAGGCGAAAACACTAGGCTTTCACATTTATAATATAAGTATGGATATGAATCGTAACGTCTTAGTGATTTTTATTTACAATAAAAAACTATAGCATTCAGTAAGTAATTGTTTTATTGCCATTTAGAGTTTTTCTATTTGCAATAATTTCATTCAATTAAAAATGAGTTTTCGTGTTTGTAAAATACTTGTACATATTAAACTTATGAATGTTCTAGGCCAACGTAGGCACTAGTCAGGTAGGTTTTAATTTGGAACAATGCATTCAAATTTAATACCAATCATAAATTATTGTATTAAGTGCGTAGGTATCAGATAGCTCGGCCTGTAAAGGCAATATTTTTGTGATAAAATTATTAATTAGAGGGCTTGGTACTTTCCAGATGTTGCCAATTTGTGTTACATTTCTGCATCTATTTTTAATCCAGGTCATAGATTCACAACCTTACACAGACAGAAACGACTCAGCAACACAGCGCACAAGTACAAATTCAAATAAAATAATTTACAAAATAAAGACTAAGTAATCCTGATATGTTATGAACTTTCATTGGAATGTGTTAGCTCATTTTGACATCTAATCTGTTGTCAAACTGTTTTGTGTATCTAGTATACTCATTGTGTATCTAGTCCCAACTTTCTTGTATACGGCTAAATATAATTTTAACATAAAATAAATGACCTAACACTAATAAAGACCACCCATGAAGCCTAACATTATTTATATACGGGTTTCGAAGGGTTCAGGAAAATAATAAACATCAAACAGCGAAAAAATATCTAATTTTAGTGTATCGTTCACTCCTGTTCACGACTTAATCATTTTTAGCCGAATTTCGCCAGTCCCTTGTGCACATAGATTATTGTTTTTTTAATGAAAAAGTAATTTAGAATATTTAATCTTTTTTTTTACGGATTCCAATATACCTTCATATGTATGTAGTAACTGTAAACACAGTCACAGAACTCATGCTATGTAGAATTGAATAAGTTAAACACCTATTCTGAATTGAGAATTCCTCCATACATGCATACAGAAAAATACAAAGTACCCTTAGGAGCCATAAAAGCTCGAGTTTATTGTGATTATTCTGATCTATGAAGGCCTTTAACCCATTTTTCCTTTTCTATGCAATAAATAAGGTGGAAAATGAATTAATAATTTCTAACGCCTCCGATTTATTTCTGAAAAAGAGCAGTTCGGGTTCCGAATCAGTTTAAGAGAACTTACCCTGGGATGTGAAGAGTGGTAGTTTTCTAAATGATAGAACAAGAAATATCATTTTATTTAGATGTCCTGTTGTGTTAAGCATGCTTTACAGTAGTGGTAGACTTACGATCGTACGGCAATCTAAACAGCGCCGGTTTTGGGTCTAAAGATAAATAAGAGTGCAATTTAAATCGCCCTTTTGTCAACAGGAACTCCGAAGGGTGATGGCCACTCTAAAAGACTGCTCCAAGTGTTTGGTAGCAAATCGCTCCAATCATTCCTGTTTAAGTTAGAATATAATATAGTATTTTTGGCCTGTGACTAGTAAGGGCTTAGGATCAAACATAGTTTTTCTTGAACCAAATTTGTTGTAGAAACGTCGCGTTCGCATTTATCTGCTAGCGATTAGTTACTTTAAATCAACTAAAAAACTTCGACTTGCATTAAACATCATCTGTCCAAAACATATTTAGTATGACTTTCCTTTTGTAAATTATTTTTTGTTTTTTTGAGGACCCTTCGCTGACTGCGACTGCGGTTATTCGAACCACTTACACTTTTTAAGTAAGTTTTGTTACATATTGTAATACTTACTATCTTTCTTTTTTGAATATATCCTGTGTCGCGGGGGACTTTAAAAACATACATGAAATGGGCACAAAGAACACCCAGACTCAGAACAACAATTTGTGGATCACACAAAGTGTTGTCCCATGTGGGGTTTGAACCCACAACACTCAAAACACAATAGGAAGCAGTGGCGACGCGACCGCTTAAACCACTACGCCATCCGTGCAGTCATATATCTTAATAACATTGTTACACGTGTGGTGACGGATTAAGAACACGGAGTGTCACCACCCCTATTCATCCCGTGAGTGTCGTAATAGACGACTAAGGAATTAAACTACGCAGGACAACAGCACTGCAAAGAAAAGGAAAACTTGAAACAAACCCTATACCGACCCGTCTGGCCAGCGTGGTATAGTAGGCTAAAACCTCCTTTCTAAGGAGATGCCTATGTCCAGCAGTGGACTGTTAAAGGCTGTTGATGAATATTATTACCATAAAAAGTATGACGATATGCCTATATAACATAATTCCATGTTAAAATAAAACTATACTGTTTACGTTATCTTAAATGTAAGTATGGTAACTTAGTGAATTAGGTAAAATAAATATAACACACGGATTGTTTTACAGATAAAGACAGTTTATTTTTAAATTCTGCAACTGACTTAAAAATTACCCGATAACAGCACTCCGACGGCTTAAAATTAAATCCAATGATCTAATAATACAGAAACAGTTCCAGTTTGCGTTTTTTAACATGGAAGATAACTAAGAACCTTAAGTTGAATAACAAAAAGGTAGTAGTAGTGTACGAACAGTTAATTTACAAATCCCGTACCAACCCGTCTGGCCAGCGTGGTATAGTAGGCCAAAACCTCCATTCTAAGGAGTGGCCTATGTCCAGCAGTGGACTATTAAAGGCTGTTGATGATTGTGTATAAAAAACAAAAAATGAAGTTTTCATATTTCCTTAGACAGTAAAAGCAATGATAAACTGGCAAATAGTAACCTTGACTAAATGAAAAGCTTTAAGAAACGGCTGCGATTCGCTTATTCCTATGTGCGATTGGGCATTTTTGTAATATAATTACAGTATTCTCGATAAAAACTGTAAACGAATAGAAAATTATATTGTATGTATCCTTTCAGAAACATCACTAATGAAGATACGAACGATAAAACGTTATCACACTTTTTATTATATGAGGGCAAACGAACAAACGGGTCACTCGATGATCCCCACTGCCCACAGACAAGTAAGTAAGTAATTTGCTTCTCAAGAGTCAAAAGTGCGTTGCAGTCCTAGAGTTGAAGATCGTAATCATCCGAAAAATTTAGGTAGGTACGGTATCGTTTTAAAAACGAGATCAGTACAATTAAGGAACTCTTTCTTTTTAACTGTACTGCACAATTTCTCAATAGTGTTTCCTGTCCAGCTTATGTAATACAAGTAGAAAACTGATTCATTTAATAATTAAAATTCTTCGTCATGTACAATAACTTGTTCTACATTTCGCTTTCCCTTTAAACCAAAACTAAATAAAAAATATTAATTTATATTCTGTGAATCCATTGTACTCCGCCTCAAAACAGTATCTCTGTATATAGTTTTACATTTTACAAAAATATCTACTCCAATAAACTATAAAAACTTACCTCCGCAAGTTTCCCGGAAATCAGGACAGCAATCGCCGAGCTTCAAGCAAGCATGATCACAGTAACACGGCTTGTCAGTTAAATCTTCAATTATGGCATTCTGGTGGGCTTTTTGTACCACACATGAACTGTCTCGTCCGGGACAACACAGATTTGCGTCCCTGCAGTAATTGGCCCCGCAATGCCCCGCCAGACACACCGCACTCGCGAAACATAACCAATAACGAAGCATTTTGAAAACTGTTATTATATTTTTTAATACTTAATCACTGTTTTTTTTTCTAAAATAGTAGGTTAGCTCTGCTTTAATTTTTTAAATGTAGAACCGTGTTATTATGTATCATTCCGAATTATAATTTCTGCAAACGGCCAGTTCTGAAACAAAAAAATGGAAATTTCGTCAGAATTGCGTCTGGACGTAACTTCTTTTTGTTTTTTATGGAACGTTTCCTTTTATAAAACTTTTATGATAACAATATTTTTTGTTACTTTGGTTGGTACTAGTTAATCCTTATTTGCTAAGATGAATTCATTACCCGTACTCATACTAATCGTAATAAAATACATCTATCATAAATAAATACATCTTTAGTTATACGTACGTACCTAATAAGCTTTTATAGCAGCGCTTGTCTAAAACAGAGTAATTTACTAAAATGATTTCATTTCATGCAGGCATTCTGTTTACGTAATAGCTACTTAATAAATATACTGATAATGTACCCTTTAAAATTAAAAAAATCCTTTAAATTATGTTAAGATATAATAATGTTAACATCATAATAAAAATAGTAATTAAAATATAGCAGAATTAGTGTTCGAAAACAACAATAAAAATTTAAAAAGATAATTTCCAAAAAGATTAAATTTGCCTCCTGTGAGGTTTGAACTCACGACCCCTGGTTTACGAGACCAGTGCTCTACCACTGAGCTAAAGAGGCTTGCGTAATAAGTTGCGAAATAACACCTTAGTTACTAAGACTAAATCTTTTTTATATGAAGCGCTGCCTATGAACGCCTGCAACTCAGTAATCACAAGCGCGTTGCCAGCCTTTGAGGAAGGAGTACGCTCTTTTCTTGAAGGTTTGAAGGGCGTAGCGGTCCGGAAATACCGCAGCCGATAACAATTTTGGGTATTTTTTTTAAATCTACAATATTAATGTCGTAGAATTTTAAAAAAATTTCCACAATTAGGATGAAAACTAATTTTTGTTTCACGTTTATTAAATAAGATTTAAAACATATCTTTTGGACACTGATTTTGCATTAACCTGCAAGTTAAGGCGAGTGGTAAAATATTACTAAGCCGGAAGTCGTGGATTCGATTCCCACCCAGGACAAATCTTGTTTTGAGCACGGTCATCTGTTCTGTGTCTGGGTGTAATTTATCTGTAATATATGTTATAAATGTTTTAAAAAATATATGAGTATGTTTATCAGCAGTCTGGTTACCATAGAACAGGCGCTGCCTAGTTTGGGATCAGAAGGCCGTGTATGAGATGTGTGATGTATATTATTATTATTCTCGTTATTTACTTTATATACATATTATTTACATTTTTAAACATACACTTTATAAAAAATTATAAAAAAACACATTTAAAAATATAAAAAATAGTAGACCACCGACATCGGGTACAGGGACCAAGACACCGGTGGTTAGGACTCCAAAGATAGGAACCTCCTCACTATACGAGCCGTGTCAAGAAGGACTGCCTTCTGCATCAGACCCTTGATCCAGCCGTCCAACGTGAGCCTCTTAAGGTGTTGGTCGAGGCTCTTGTCTATCAATCCGTGAGCAGATACGACTATCGGAACAATGATCACTGAATCAACATTCCACATATCGACAATCTCGTGAGATAAATCCAAATATTTAATTTGTTTTTCTTTTTCAAGTTTCACGAGATTCTCGTCATGAGGAACGGCGATATCAACAATCATTGCGCGGCGCTCTAATCGATCTATCAGCACAATATCAGGCTTATTGGCAACAATAGTCCTGTCTGTGATAATAGATCGATCCCAATACAACGTGGCCCGACCATTCTCGAGAACTGGGTCGGGCACATACCTGTAGTATGGCACCTCTAGATTCACAAGATGGTATTTAAGGGCAAGCTGTTGGTGTACGATCCTGGCTACTTGGTTGTGCCTGTGCAAATATTCTCCGTTAGCAAGACGAGAACAACCAGAAATAATATGCCTGATTGATTCGCCAGGACGGTGGCATGCCCGACAGATGTCAACCGTACCATCTTTCAGGATATATTTCCGATAGTTATTCGTCATGATAACTTCGTCCATAATCGCACAAACAAAACCTTCAGTTTCTCCGAAGAGATCACCATACCGTAGCCAAGTCTTACAGTCTTAGTCTTAGTCTTAATATTATATTTTTCAATTTATTTTCGCTCATCAATCATCTATTATGTAAAGCAGTGCTAGCAATGTCTAATCTTCTTATTTCCCTTTTAATTATTTTTTAAAGACCTACCCGCTAATAATAAAATTTCAAAAGCTATTAAAGGCAAGACAAAACAAGGAGTCTAGTTTGATTTATCTATTAATGTTTATTTTTTCCATCCTTCTACAAAATTCCTTGGCTCGTTTAAAAAAGGATTGTATAAGCTACCGCTGCCAACTTTACAAAACGAAAACCAAAATGACACGAGGACTTTTTATTTCTTGGAGGTACGGGAGCGCGGTTGTTGACCTTGGGCTAACCGACTAGTTTTTAAACTAAGTGTTAACCGATGAGATAACCTTTAGGGAATGTGTCTCACAACGTTTTATATTGATTTGAAAATATTTATGTGAACATGGTTTGTGTTTTTACACTTAAAAACAAGAGTGAGTAGTAGCTGTAGTAGTTTGATTTAAGAACCAGAAATAAAAATTGTTTACTACTGCTTTTCTACTGATCTTTTTAAGATATGCAATTGCATAGTGCATTGTTTTCATCTATATTGTAATGTATAGCCAGCGTTTACAATGTAAGCGCACTAAAACATGTTTATACAAATCTGTGAAATTCTCGGATTTCCTCAACTATAATTTGCATTTATTATACATACATATAAATGGGCCTCTTGAATCACTCTCTCTATTGGTGGAAACAGCTTTAAAATTCGTTGCGTAATTTAAAAGATCTAAGCGTACAAGACAAAACAGCAACTTCATTTTATACTAGGTATGTACAGAAGATGTTTACCAAAGGTCTGGTTACCATACCACAGACCATGTCCGGTGTTTGAATTATAGCAAATAACTATACTGTATTCTATTCGTATCATATAACAACCTCAACTTAATAAGAAAATAACATTTTTGATAAACAAATGCACAAAAAAGATTCATGCTGACTGTTAAGCTATCATCCGTGTGGTAACTGATTAAGAATACGGAGTTTCAGTACCCCTATTCAACCCGTGGGTGTCGTAAGAGCCGACTAAAGAAGCAAACTGCGCAGGACAACAGCACTGCAAAAAGAGAAGGAAAACCTGACAGAAACCCTATACCAACCCGTCTGGTCAGCGTGGTATAGTAAGCCAGAACCTCCTTTCTAAGGAGAGGTCTATGTCCAGCAGTGGACTATTAAAAACTGTTGATGATTAAGATGATGTTAAGCTATTTAATTTTTATCATCAAGGAATTACAATCAGTGTTTGGCAGTCTAAAGTAACAGAGGTTTGAAACAAAATACACAATAAAACACTTAAAATAAGTTATAAAAAAAACAGTGGTACTCGGAGAGTGCCGACAGAAGTGAAACAATATATTTGTATGTTATATACAGTTATGTTTTCAATGTATTTCAACAGAAACTCCACTCTCGTGTAAACGGGGCCAATATATGTAGTAGACACTTATATACATATACATAAGTGTCGGTAACGGTAACGGTAACAATGTCGCGAGTTTAATGTTTTTTTCCCAGAAAATACATTCCTTTGTTTGTTGTTATGCCCAACGCGCCTTGTGCCCAATTCACTTCAAAAACTTTTTATTGTTTTGTAGAAGTTACTTTGTAGGTTCGTAATTTTAAACAAGCTTTTTATAATATCAAAAACTATTAGATTCCTAAAGTGTGAGTCTTTACAGAGGTCACGTGGAAGATAAGGTCACGCTTACTCGTACATCTGAAAAGACTTCATAAGATTAATACAATCATTAGATGTTTTAATTTACTGACATTCCACCTTTTATTTGTCTATAAATCTACTACTTCATCTAACCATACATGAAACGCAGTTTGTCCCTGTCACTGTATTACTACAGAAAAAACACAAATTCAATATGAAAACTTTTTAAACTGCTACAAAAAAGTACGCTAGTATAATATAAAAGTTGAAAAAAGTGCATTCAATGGTATTCGAGTAACAAGTGGTTTAAACAATCGAACCGGCTATGGAAACAGTTCGAGAATTGGTTAGTCAAATAAAGGGCATATTCCAGCAGCGTTCAACACTATGTGATGTATTAAAAAGGGCATAGAAATCGTAATAATAAGACACTAGAAATGAATTAGCGCCTGGTTGCTTCCAAAACCGATGTCGCCACATCTTAACACACACAAAATACAAACACATAGTTTTTGCATTCACTTGCAAAACAACGGTGACACAACACTTGTACACTTGCAACACTTGCACACAAACTTTTATGAACCTTAATCTCCAAAAATTAGATTGCATTTCACTCCAACGTATTATGTGGCACGACTACAATCTCTTTTGATGTGTGAGAATCCCTGTAAAATGCTAGGGATTGACTAAATTTTTCGAAGGTGTCGATATTTTTTTAAATATTTAAATGAATTATAAGTAGTAATGAAAATCATACAGATATACATTTTTTTTAACAGTAATGATACTTATAAATGAATAGTACCTATTTTTTTATATCAAGCTATCCATTAACAGTCAAAACACCTTATTGATCCAAGTTACAACGTACACTTATGACACAATAAAAATTCAAAAATTTCTAATGAATAAAAAATTATTAAAATATATTTTTTGTAGGGAACCAATCCTGTCTACCAGTAATATTCATCCCTTTTTCTTTAACAGCAAGACCTTCTGCAATCTAGAAATTAATAAAAATTTAATTTAATAAATTAATTAAATTATATGATAATAAATAATAATATAATTATTTATGATTTCTAAAAAGATAACATTTTATTTACATTTATCAACATTTTAAACATTTATAGACTTTAATACG